TTACACGAGATAAACTCTTTTTTGATCCTCCAATCAACGGTGCTTCAGTGAGGCATGGCTTCAGTTTAAACTCCTTGATGCCTCCACAGAGATTTTTGTTTCCGTATACTGAAACAATAGTAGCATTTTGAAAATTCCCTTGTGTTGGCACACTTCCCTCCAAGTTGTTGAGGGAGAGATTGAGATACTCCAAGGAAGAAAAGTTTGCAAAATATGCAGGTATACTTCCAGAGAGATTATTGTTGGATAAATCAACCTTTTTAAGACCCACCAACATTCTTATATCCGGAATGGCTCCATCAAAATTGTTTCCTTGCAGCAGAAGTGTTTCCATTGGGAGACAATTTGCCAAGGAATGTGGGATTTTCCGGGATAATTTATTATGTGCAACAGATAGTAGAACAAGATTTTTAAGCCCTCCAATGTCTTCTGGTAGAGAACCGGTCAAAGAATTACGCGAGAGGCCTAGTTTAAGAAGAGATTGAATTCGCATAATTTCCAGAGGTATAGTCCCATCCAACTTATTAGAAGCAATATCTAATTCCAGTAACGAAGAACAGTTACTGAGACTATGAGGAATGGTTCCTTCAAAACTATTGTTGAACAAGTATAATGAGCTTAGTCGAGTCATATTTCCAATAAAAGATGGTATCTCTCCAGATACACGATTTGAACCAAGATAAAATCCTTCCAACTGTTGAAGCTTACCAATAGAGGTCGGGAGCTGACCAGTGAACTGATTTTTATCTAACCCAAGGAATCGTAGGCTTATGAGATTCCCAATGTCCTGGAGAATGCTTCCAGAGATGGAATTTATTCCAAAATCTAAAGTTTGGAGGTTTCTGGATAGATTCGCAATGGAGTTAGACAAGTGGCCGCCAAGCATGTTTCCAAGAACATCTACAGTTTTAAGTTGGGTGCAGTTTGTTAATGCACTAATAAATTCCAGATCTCCAGATGAATGACTTCCCAAAGAATTGAAAGAAAGTGTTAGGACTTTCAAATTTCTTAATTTTCCAAAGCTCACAGGAATACTTCCTGTCAGATTGTTATTATCGAGACCTAAACTCTCAAGAGTCGAGATATTGGTAAGGGTTGCCGGAATGACTCCTTTGAGATGATTACGTCCCATATTTAACCCTTGTAGGTTTGGTAGCAGCGTACCAAAATCAGGTCTCAGGTATCCCGAGAAATGATTATCAGTAATATATAACTTTTCAAGCGAGGAGAAGTTGTATATTGCGGGAGGAAAATCACCAGAGAAGTTGTTCATTCCTAAAAAAAGATAGACCAGCTGAGTCAATCTAGCCAAATCACCCGGAACTTCTCCTTCTAAACTGTTCTCACTAAAGCTAACTCTTTTTAGAGATGTCAAGTTTCCTAGAGAAGCAGGGAGCTTCCCTGTTAAGTTATTTTCACCAAGATGCAACTCCAGAAGGTTTGTCAGTAACCCTATCTCGGAAGGAACACCTTGTCCAAGAGGATTTGAATTTAAATAAAGGTTAACCAACCTAGAGCAGTTAAATAGGCTGATTGGAATTCCTCCTCCCAAAACATTATACCTCATATTCAAGAAATGAAGTCTAAACAAGTTCCCAACCTCGTGAGGGATGATACCTCCAAAAGAGTTATTAGAAAGATCAAGCCATATGAGAAACGAAAGATTACCAATAGATGGTGATATCATTCCATCCAATTGCAACCCTGAGAGATCCAAACGAGTAACTCTCTTGTGTTTGTGGCCGCATGTTACTCCCTTCCAGTTGCAGAGAGGGTTTGAGTTATTCCACGAGGACATGACAACTTGTTTGCCTTCAGAAACATGAGATTTGAACTCCAACAACGCTTGCTTATCAGTTTCTTTTGTAAAACCATATGCTTCAAGTAACATGAAAGCACTAAAAGAAAATAAAAGAAACAATCTCATGCTTCTCACTTTTTTTTTGGGGGGGGGGGGGGGGGGGGTTTAGATTTTGATGGATCTCAAATGTAGCAGGAAGGTGAATTATGGGAGAGGAATTATGCAAATGCATCGTACAAGAAATAATTACAAGACTGAAAGACTGTTCAAAAATCCCGTGGACTAGTGTCTGCTGAGTTCAAATCCAACCATCTTCATCTTATTATTTTTCTAAATAATTTATTTGTAGAAATTGACAGGTTGGCGTTTTATCATATTCGAAGTGTTTATTTACAAGAATATAGGGCTGGCCACACAGATTTACATGTTTAGGTGTAGGGACGAGCCTTCGGATCAAAGGGTTTTGAATTTTTGTGCTAAAATTTGAACTTTATTGGAGTATTTATAAATTTTGGCTTAACTTCTGATCGGATCATTGGATTCGATTACCCATTTAAATTACATAAAAATTCAAAAATCTAAGTATACGTGGCTCAAAATTTTAAAATAAAATAGTATATACATATATAAGTTTGAATAATGTGAGATTAAATATTTAAAATTAACAGAAAATTGGTTTGATTTGGATATATGGATATATAACAAGTAGGAATTTTTTATATCTTCGGTGTTTTTAGCATTTTAGCTATTTTCAGATGTTTATTTATGATTATTTTTGATTAACTTTTGGATATTTTCATGTATTTTGAATATTTTAGTGATTTGCTAGATCACTAAGCTTTGCTTGGAAGAACCTAGTTTCTTCAGCATTATTAAATCTAAAATCATTAATATATTTAAGTAAATAATGGTGATTCAGATACTTTTAGATACCTAAATTATTTTGGTTTGGATCGGGTCTAGTTCATGTTCTTCGTCCAAAAAAAATAAATCTACTCAAATATTTAATCATTTTTTAGTTTGGGTTTATTATTGTTTTTTGGTCAGGTTCTGCTCAGTTGTTCGGATCCTAATACTAACGGAGGAGACTCGTGAAAGCGCATTAGACAATGATTTGAAATTATATGGCTTTGAAAATAAAAATCTAAAGACATTATTGGCTGACTATGATGCTAGACTGTGAGAAACATGCTACACGGTGTGGAAAATGACACCTTCTCCCCTTCTCACCTTTCCCACATGCATCCAACATTCACACACAACTGATGAGAATTTCCACAACACCTTCTCCCCTTTCAAAATTAAAGTGAAACATCAACAAATGGCAGATCCATACAAATTTGATACTGTTTTTTTCTTTGAACATATACAACATTGTTTGTGAAATCTCCTCTAAGAAGATAAACTTAAATTCAAGTGTTGACGTCTAAGCAAGTTTCTCATCCTCTTGAGGTATGGTTCCACGAAAGTGTAATCAAAGAAATAGAGTACCAAAAAATCTGGTCGACTTTTTGCCAACCGTAGTCAACCATCATGCCATCAAAGTCGAGTATTATACTCTTATTATATTTGCCAAATGGTTCTAGGAATTGACCAATTGACGTGAGTTTTTTTTTTATAATTATTACCAAATGGTTTCGTCGTACATAGTAACAGTTTAAAGAGAGGAGATCTCGCCACCCGTGACAAATTGTTGTTTCCTGTTCATGCTAACAAAACCGCAGGAGACCTGAAGAAATATCGTTGCTAAACATTCACCACCACAAAGATACAAAGACTTCCAAAAGCAATTACAAACTGAATCTTATATCTATAACAAACCCACAAGCTCTACATGCGTATAATGTTATTATTATCGAACTCAAGAATTGGAGAAAGGAGAAACACAACAAAGCCTATGAAAAGATCACTGAGAAAAGACAAAAGAGGATACACACCCAAAAAGACCTCACAATACAAAATGTGTGCATAAAGAATGCTAAATTGCAGACCAATCTCACTTAACACAGGGACACAGGCATGAACTGGATCAAAAACTAAGCTCATTCTTAATCTGCCTCTGCAAGCCGTCCCACATCTTCTAATTTTACTCTTGCATATCAAAGATGATTTTCACATCGTACAACTGTAAGTGGTGTCTTACCAGGTTGAATTAAAGTAAGCCCGCCAACATGGCACCTGGATCATTAGCATCCACCGCTGGGCTTGGCAGTTGAACTAAAGGTGCAGCTGGTACTGACACCGCTGGAACCAGAGCTCGAGAGCCCACTGGAATGGCGATTAGTTGTTCTTTGATGAATTCTTTCAACCTATATAGACAAGGTAAAGTCAGCAAATCATGCAACGGAAGAGTTGTGTTCTTATCATGAATGAAGTTTAGGGTTGATTGTAAGGGTAGAGTCTCCTGACGCTACTGTCAACGGCAGTTGGGTCCTGTCCGCTGGGTCTGTTTCAATCCTTGCCTGCAAATATCGGAAAAAATACAAACATATTGAAATAGAGGCAAAACACTCAGCTTGTAATTCCGAGAAAACTACCAAGTCGCTCACCAAACAGAGGATGGCTCTTGTGTTTTCGGAGTAAAAGGTTGTGCTTGCCACTAATATATCATTATGGCCAACTAATAGATGATCCACCACAAACAGTATACAAAGTTCTAGCTAGGCTTTACAAGAAGGAAACCAATGTAAAAAACTCACCAAGCCGAGATGGGTTTTATCACCAAAACCATAAGCGATGCTCTGTTTGTCACAATCACTCTCGTTCGTTCTTTGAAAAGGCATTTGTATTCCTTTTACCCCTGTAGTCTAACCGAGTTACTTCTCATAATGAGATTTCCAACCTTTTTGTCCCCGATTTAATTTCCTAAACACTACTAGCTAGAATTGAAAATTAAACAGTTATAAATGACCATGCAATAAAACCGATAAAAATGCAATTGAATAACACCTTTAAGCGATCAACACATAATGAAAGTTTTCTCGAGATTGTTTAATATCCCCGCTCTAGCAACCAGGAAACAAATTCAATCATAGGAAATGCATCTATATGGATAGATGCATGCTAACAAACGATGACATGTCTACAAACCGACAAAATTTACACTTTGACACAAGAGTCTAAAACATAGAAATCGTGAATTTTATTCTTCGTCTTGAGTTGGGTTCGATTTTGTCAGGAATGCCGAAAAGATTCGAGTTTAGAGTCTACTAGTACACATCCCAAGCCCAGAAACTCCAGCAGACTCCATGATTGATCCCTTATTTGTTTCAACAAAGTAGCAGACCTTCTTCCGAGCAGCATCAAGATCAAGAGCCAGATCACAAACATCTATGGTCTTTTCCAGGGTATCATGTGGCAACAATTTCCCTTTTGTGGTTAAAGCAGTAAACGAAACAGTCATGACAGTAGCAGGTTGAACAAGGCCTTGTAGATCAACTAGTGTTAAATCCATATCACTGCCAATTTTTTTCACAACACGGGCATAATCGATTGGGTTTTGCACCAGTGACTCAAGCTCTGGGAACTGAAGTCTGTACTTGCCACGGATGAAGTGGTGGAACATGACTATCTCCTTGTTAATCTCAAAGACGAGTTGATTGCAACCCATAATTAGATTGTACTCGGAATAGTTTTCGAGGGCTTTTTGCACTTTCTGCATTGTATGGGCATATCTCCGATGGAGATCATCATAGCTAATAGTCTCCATGTCCATGTCAACAACACTCACCAATTCTGCTTCAAGAGTTGCCTACAACAGATGCAACATAAGTTACAAGTTTCCAATAGAAAAAAAAAAAAACTCATGTGCATATACACCATCCCGTAGAAAGCATCACCAATGTTTTAAACACAAACATAAAGCAATAGCAGAAAAAAAATTCAAACAAAAAAAGGCAATACTTAACATATAGTCAATGAAACTATGCCAATGGTGAATCAAAACAACGCTCTTTGGTGAATTTTTAAGATTAATAAAAGTAACAAAAAAATTAGCCAGAAGAAGACGATTCTTGAGAGAGGATACTTCAACACTTACCATATCTTCTACTTGGAACGCAATAGCTTACTGATTCCCTGCAATTTAACGAAGATAAAATCCTTATTTCGGGAACCCTAATTTTACTGAGAGGATAAAGCTTTGGAATACTATATATTTGATTGGTTGATATATTTAAATCCTCATCCTACTTCCTAATATATATTAATTGACAAATAACTTTATTGATTTTTACTTAGTTGTCTCTTAATTTGAGTGGTTGTTGGAATTTGAATGTTCATTTATTTAATTCAAATTTTGAAAAGGTTCATAAAATTATCTAAACTAACATATGTTACCAAATAAATAATCAAATAACTTAAATTTAAACGAATTAACATAATTTATTTATGTAAAAATTCATTATCATAATATATCTCTTCAATTAATTATTTTAATTTGACTGGTTGGTGATTTTTTTCATTTTAAATAAAAATAAATAAACAATTAGTAATTAACAATTTTCATTAGTTGTGTATTGCATGGTATGATAGAAAAAATATATGTATACATAATTTAGTTATAAAATAAATTTTAAACTAATTTTAGATATCAAAAAATAAATTGAAGTTACTTTTATTAATCAAGAAATCCGTAAAAAACTATGTCAATTGTAAAAACGGATAAATAATTCTATACATATTTAAAAGATAATCCGTTTAAGAAACTTTGTAAACAACTTTCTTTTGCATGTTATAGCGATAACTAAAAATAAAATAAATTAATAGCTAACATAATAATCTTTTATTTTTGACTTACAAACTATATGATAAGAACGATGTGTCTAACTGTTTTCATTTATCAGAATGTTTTTTTAACTTTTAACATCTGGAATTTATATATATATATATATCATAATATGAAACTTCTTATTATCTATTAAATACAAACACTATTACTATGAATACATATGAATGTATTAACTAATACAAACTAAATCTTACATAGAAATATTATTAAAGTAATGGGAATTCACATATATATATATATATAGTTTTGTTACTTTTCGATAATCTTTATATATATACTTTAATTTCAAGTGTGGATTTATTTTTCACATAATTCATAGTTTTAGATTTTAATAAATTTTACATGAAAACATTGATCTACAAACCAACTAATATATGTACATATATATGGTTTGGATGTGAATGTTACAAATGAAATTACATTCTTAATGGACTAATATCCTAATCAGTTACATATAGTTATTAATAAAAAAATTAATGAAATATTAAAAATACCATTTATACTTTTAAAAGTTAAACAAATAACCAAATAAATAAAATATCTAAAATATGTTCATTTTAAAAATATTTATCAAAAATTCACAGTGAACATGAAAAGCTAAAAAATATAATAATATTGCATTATATTGTAAAATTAATTGTTCTCGCAAATTTGCGGTTAACCACCTAGTACCAACTAAATAGTGGAATACCAACTAAATATTGCTCTATATCCCGAGCCGGATCACAGTTGGACTACTTTTGGTGGGCCTTGTTCCCTATCAAACATTGGATATGGACTACTGCATATACCGTTTAGGGGGAACATAATTTTGCCCATCAAACTTGTTTACACTACGGTTGGGCATTCGGTCTCAACCAGATTTTGGTTATCATGCAAACGGGTTTTCGGGTTTACGATAATCTTCGGTCTCAACCAGATTTTAGTTATCATGCAAACGGGTTTTCGGGTTTACGATAATCAACCCCATTTAAATATTATAAAAATTTGATTCACGTTAAGTCGGGTTCAGTTGAGATTTAGTAACATGCCAATTGTCAAAGAACCGGTTGAACGCAATATAATTTAAGGTTTTGGATCTTAGTCAGTTTTTGATCTTAGTATTAACCATATCAATTATGTATATTAGAATATAAGTATTTGAGTTAATTATTGTAAGAACTAATTATTGTAGATACTCAGTAATATTTTATGATATTTTGGATACGTATTATAGATTGAGTATAGTGTATAAGTTTTTTAAAAAAAATTGAAGTTTCAGGTTTTTGGGGTATCCATTTAAATCCGGGTTAAGTCAGATAAAATCCATAACTCGAAATACCGTAAAACAAGATCCATTGGATACTTATGTTTGATTCAGATCAGTTTGGATTCATTTTTATTGGGTCGTATTTAGTTCAGATTTTTGGATTCGATTTATTTGTCCAGTCTTAGTTTACACTAAATAATAATCCATTATATACTATACTAATCCTAACAAATCAAAATTTAACACATGGAAAATGTTTAGAAATAATTAAACACTATTGATAAAAAAAATTTTCCTTCAAACCCCTAATTTTCAGCAACTCCCTCCTAAATTTTCCGAAATATCACATTCACATACAACGTAACTGGCCACGTTTTTAAACAGTTTTGTTCTTATATATATTTTCCATTTACTAATTTTCTGTGTTTTATATTTTCTTCATTAGCAAAGAAGGAAACAACATGTCATTCTGATTGACAATTATGACACTGAAATAATAATTTATTTTTTGGTCAGTGAAAAAATAACTTTTAAAATAGTAAGTCATTCTGATTGACAATTATGACACTGAAAGAATAATTTATTTTTTTGATTAATGACAAAATTTTATATATTAAAACAGAAGTCATGACTTGACTTCCTGTGTAATTATTTTAAAAAATAGACTATTAATAGAAAGTTATGTTACATTAACTCTCTAATAATCTTATCATTACTATATCTTATGAAAAATCATATCTATAATAACAAAGATACGTTTAACAATTTGGTTTTGGTAAATTACCCCACACCTTCCAATTTAGTCACGCAAAATATGTGAATAGATATAAGTTTAGAAATCTTCTATTATTTATAAGGAAATATGTCAATAATAGTTAAATGCATCCACAATATATTAAGAAAAATCACAGATTCATAATATGGAATATTTATATACCCTAACAAAATTTACACGCTTTATATACTAGATAAATTTATTTCGATGTAAATTTTAAAATTATATTGTTTTTAAAAAAATTGTTTAAAAAATTCTTTTTAGTAAAATTCTTTATAATATTAATTTATGAAGATATAAGTTTAGTTTTTAGCAAAAATTTCTTCAAAGTTTATATTATCTTTGCAAATTAAAGTATACTAATATTTAATCAAGCTCTATTTATATTAGTTTATCAAAAAATGAAATTCTAATTTAACAAAAAAAAATATAGAAGAAGAAACAAACACATGTTTTTCAAACATGTATAATATAGAAAATTTGAAATAATCTATTTGATTAAAACACGTATTATATAATATTATTATGTTTGAAAAACATTTACTATACATATCGTAAATATGTGATTACTATAATATATACCAACTTACAAGTGAAAACAAAATGTTTATATAACTAACTATAAACGAAAATAAATACCCGCGCGGTTACGCGGGTTAAAATCTAGTAACTTTTGAAATAGTAAGTTGAGCCGTGCTTAGCTAGCTGGTAATCAGGGACAGATTTAGAAACATTTTGAATCGGGGGCACAATATTAAAAACAGCAAAAACACTTATTTTGATGGGGACACATTTTCACTTTTCTTCTATAAACTAACAATATCTAGTTAAATTAATTCATGTTACTTAAGAAAAATTAAAAATCAGTAGGGGGCTGACCCTGTACTGTCGTATGTGCGTCCGCCCCTGGTGGTAATACTTATTCAAAGTAAAATCACAAGTGGAAAATCACCAAGTACATTTTCCTTTGAATAAGTTTATATCTTTCTTTGTAACATAATAAGTTTATATCTACTCTACTAAAATAGAATTACAAGAAAATCTATGTACAAAAGTCGTAATAGCACCATCCCGTTAATTGGTTAACATTATTTATTTGATTATTTACATTAATCAATCACATATATATAGATTTCAAGAAAATTGGCAAAATACGTTTTTCTAAAACAGTAATCATCCAATTGCAATTGAAATATATATACTTTCAGATTCTTCTATCTTATTAAAGAGAAACATAATATGTAACTAATATTTAGTTCATGTGTTATTTCCAAAACATGTCATTAGAAATCTTGGAAAATTTATAATTCATAAAGATATTAATAATATATTCATAAACATAACAAATCGTAAGGAAAGATCACTGAGAAAAGATAAAATAGGATACACACCCAAAAAGAACTCACAAATACTACAATGTGTGCATAAAGAATGCTAAACTAGATTTTGATTCACGCTTTTCAAGCACGGAAATTTTTTATGATTAAAATTTTATATAACTGGGTTTTGTCTTAATTTAAAGAATGTTTTGGTAAAAACCAGTTCATCAAAATTTGTGGTCATGATTGTTTTTCCTTAATTTTTAGTTTCATTTTTTATTTTTAGATTTTGGTTTTTGATTTTTAGTTTTTAAGTTTCTATTTTTGATTTTCAGCTTTTGGTTTGAGTTTTTAGTTTTTAGACCCACTAAGTTAGTTTGAACTGATATTACTAACAAAAAAATCTCAAATAATCGAACATTTAATTTAAAACTGAAAAGATGAATTTTTTTTTAAATATTGCAATAGTTTATTTTGTAACTAAACAAAAGAAAAAACTATAACCTGCGTTTTCAGCTTTTGATTTTGGATTTTAGTTTTTAGATTTGGGTTTTGGTTTTCCTTTACATTTTTTTTAAATCAGTAAATTATTTAAGAAAAATAAAACAATAAATTATTTTAAAAATATCATTGAAATTTATCAAAGCAAAATGATTGTTATTTAAAATAAAAAATGCATTAACATGTTTTAAAGTACATGATTTAAATAAATGATTAATAACAGAAAATTTTGTTTTGTTAAAAATATTAAATACCTTTTGGGTTTGAAAATAATAATTGATATTTTGATCCATTAATATGGAAAGTTTATTCAATGTTTTTTGGAGATTTTCCTTAATATTAAGCCTAAAAACTAAACCATATAATTTGTTCTAAAAACAAAAGTAAGTCCAAGACTATATTCAATAAA